CCTGCTTGTACTATTAGGTGGTGAAATCCTCCTCTAAACATGCACATACAAACGTTCATATATAAGTTATTTAATTCTTCATACATTATTCTGAGACGTCTTCATGCTTTTACTAACAAACATACTTACTCTGTTGTGAAACTTCTATTCATGCATCTTTCATATCATCAAATTATTTTGTATTGCTCATATCTCTTCTTATGCATCTCTTATATAATGCATATCTTTCCTACATGTCTATGTTTTACATGTAATGTTTAAATATCATTTATCTCATTCATATACGTATTTTTTATAATGCTTATCATGCATATCTTTTCTAACAAATAATACGAAAGATCTGATTACACTAACACATTCATGGAGTGAAAATCTGAAAATCAAGAAGATTACTAAAATTCAAAAACGCAATTAGTTACCTCAATTGTGACACTAGGTTTTCAATCTTGAATAATTAGCTCGCCGTTGGATAAGTTTTCTGTTTAGCGAAATTACCTATAAAACATAATATTAAATTTTAAATTCAAGCGATTTTCGTTGACTGAATTATTCTTCTTGAATTAGCATAGTGTTATGTTACCTGAAATTTACGGTGCTGTCCTACGACAATTTTCTACACGCTTGCCTCGAACTTTTTGACTTAGATAAAACAACCTGGAATCTATAAGAAATTTAACATTTTATACATTTTTGGCTCATAAAATAATGATAGTGAAAAAGTGACATTCTTACCTCAAAAAATGCTTTCCAACACATTTGAATTTTCGAAGCCACCGAATTTACTTTCTATCAGCTCTAACCACTTCTCTTCTACGCTCATGTCATGCTAGAACCCTTGTGAAAGCTCGCAAAAAACTTTCGACGCTTCGACACACAATCGACCCCGCTGACTGATACCACAAAGGGAAAATGCATGAAAATTGAGGCAAAAGTCAATCAAAAGGTGAGGAAGGAAATTAAAGCTTCAAATATTGTGCTGGAGAGATTTGTGCTTACGTGGAATGCCACAGAGCCCCAAATTGTGAGTTACGACTTTCCTAGGCGCCGCTTGATTCGTGCTTGATATCGGTCTCTACATTGTGCAAGGGTTGCAGCCTTGCTCTGCCGCGGGTAGTGAACACAAAGAGTGATCGAGAGAGGGAGAGAGAGAGGAGGGAATGAGTGTCAGGAGAAGAAATTTTGAGAGAAAATCGAAGCTCGGGATTCCTTCGACCGAACGTAGTGAACACAAAGAGTGAGAGAGAGAGGAGGGAATGAGTGTTAGGAGAAGAAATTTGGAGAGAAAATCGAAGCTCGGGATTCCTTCGACCGAATGAATTGAAATTAAAGGGGCGCGAGTCTGTGGTGAACAGTGACAGAGTGATTAGGGAAATAATTAAGTAATAATTAATGTTCAAGTAATTAAAATTTTAACTTTAAATTTTTGTTACTCCCAATCTATTCATATTTAATGTATTAAACTTTATATCAAATTGCTCGATTTAAGACATAGAATTTTATAAAATTGCTTCGGTCAAATTTTGGGGAGATGAAGTATTTGAGGTGCTTTGAATGTTGCTAAGAATTTTATCCGGTTTCTAAAAAAATTGTTATTACACTAATAATTTGTGATAATTAATATTTTATCTCATTCAAATATTTCCTCCGAATTCTTAATTGAAATACAACACTTTGTCAATTTTGGTTCATATGTCGTATAATTTTTCTGGTGAGGCCTTAACTATCTTGGTGCATACATAATTATATTGTTATTTTACATTAAAATACATTTTAATCCTTTCTTTGACGCATCACTATAAATCCTAAAACTGGAACAGTTTTCTAACACTTTTTCAATTCTCCAAAATTATTGTCACATTTTTCTGCCATTCAGACTTGACATCCCTGCTCATTATCGTGGACAGCATCATGGTGAGTATTTTCTGACAATTTGAAATTTTTTCGCTATTGGAGAAATCCAGTAAATTGTGGACCTATATAACAGTCGTGGGTGTTAATCATTCTACTATTTCTTTCATATTCGGCGAATCTATAAAGAATCCTTGGCAACATATGATGTGTTCCAAAAATGCCGTACATCAATCAACATTTGCATTTTGAAAACTTTACATACTATTGATTTTTTTTTTGAACAACTTGAAAACTGTTCTCAATTGCTTGGCGTGATCATCATCAATTTTTAAATAACTTGAGTTCTAAATGCCAACTAATTTTATGATTGTTTAGATATTAAAAAAACATGGTGTAGTTTAATTAGTAAAATCCTTTTTACTGTTATCGAAGTCCAAAAAAAATGACACTTGCTAATAACATAAAATATTGTTGAGCCAATGTCCCAAATGACATAGTTAGACTAAAATAAATGTATGATAATTTTAATTAACTATTATTCATATGTGAATAAAAAAAATTGTCTACATTTTTGGTAAAGGGCTAGATAGAGCCTATGAGATGTTGGGAGATGTATAATATATGAAGTGTGAAGTTTAGCTTTAAAAGTTTAATTTCTCATAATGCTGCTGACTCCAATAGCTAAAAGTGCTTCACATTTTATGGGCAGAATTGAAGAAGAAATTTGAATATAGCAATTCTAATCACTTTATTTTAAGTATTGTGAAGTATTCTTTCTGTGGTGGAGTTTTGCTTAGAGAGTAAAAAAAAAAGAATTTGATATGCGTTATTTTGCTGATTTTGGCTATTTTAACTCTTTCAAGTTGTTAGCAATATCATGGATTAATTGTTGTATATAATCGTTGATTATTATATTTTGAAATTGCTGAGTAGTCTTATGTAAAGTTTTTGAGATGGTGAAGAAAAGCAGTTTGCTAAATTGATGGGGGTGAAAAGATAGAAGAATATGAAAAAGGGAAGTTTAAAAGAAAAAAAAAAGAAAATAAAAAAAAAACCTCCATGCGTACAACTAAGAGGGGAAGAGGAGAACTCAGTATATACAATCCGAAGTGATCTATATACACAATTTGTATTGAGGTAGAAACACTTAATTGTCCTAAGAAGAATTCATTTATTCAGGCAGCTCTTTTTATAAAAAAAATATATATATGGAAAGGATGAGAGAGAACTTATCCATATTGCTTATCATAATTATGTGATCATTTTACAAATTACATTTACAAATAAAATTTAATTAAAAAAATTGTCCTACAAGACTTCAAAAACTAGAATGGACCTAACCTGGTACGACTTATTTTGATTGTTTTATGAAAATCTAGTCTTGATGTGAAAGTGTTTGATATGTATTGAATCAATTTGAATTCTCGCTGACTCAGGGTATGATTTATTTATAATTTTTTCTTCAAAATTTTTGTGATTTTTTTGCAATGTTTAGTGCATGATTTATGTTAATTGTGTACTGCTACTTTTTTGGAAGATTTATGACATGCGATTTGAGCTTAATGAAGTAGAAGCTAGAAGGGAAAGATATCCATCAACTATTTCTTTCATCAATTTGTTAAATTCATTGATTTCACAAGAAAGAGATGTAAGTGACCGAGGCCAAAGGTACAAACATTGAATGGTTTTCTATTTTTATCACCACCTTTCTCTGCTTTTTAATTGCGTAGTTTAAGCTAAATTTTCTGTTCTTGATTAAAATATTTTCCAGGTTTGTCGGCATTTTTAGATTTGTCTATGATCACGTCTTCAGCCCTTTTCCCCAGAGGGCTTATGCTGATCCTAAAGAAAAGTGGCAACTGGTTATCTCTTGCCTCCAGCACTTCCATTTGTGAGTCTCTTATCTGTCTAGCTTGTGATTTACTTTTAAAGTCAACTGGCAAATGCATGATGAATTCTAACTTTGGCTCCATTTTATAGAATTATTTTAGATTTCTATCCTTTTTTTAAAAAATTAATCCTCTGTTTTTTTTTGGTTTGAAAATTATCATATATTTTTGGTTTCAGTTGCCATGATAGTTTCAGTGATAATTTATCTTCTGGAATTGCGTTAAAACTTAAATATTATTTTATATTTTATATTTTTTTTCTGAATGTTTATGCCACTATTTTGAATGATAATGAAATGTGCTTTTTATTTTAAGTCTGTTTATTTACCCGGACTTTCCCTGCTTCTAGCTTTTTTCTAGGCCAATTTCGTCATATTCTTTCATGTTAGTTTTATTTGCCAATGTCTTAATTGCACCTGCATATGTAAACTTAAAATTCAGTCTTTTTTTCAGCAAATTGTGCTCCTAACAACTTTTTGATATCATAACTTATTCTCTCCCTGTTTTATGTTATTTATTTTGACATTCTTATTTCCACTGCATTCCTCTGACCATTAGTAGCCCTATTGTTCTTCAATGCTGGAATTCTGATAGATGTCTAATTATATTTTTGTTATTTATATTTTTTTGTCTTATTGTTTTGTACTTCTGAGTCACTTCTACTATTTAATAACCAACTTTAGCTCTAAATAAAGTTCTTCATTATTTATACGTGGTTTTTATAATTGATCCATGATTGTTGAACTTATAGCCCTTTTATATCAATTGATATTCCTGAGTATTAGACGTTATTTTTTTAGAAGTTATTTCTACTTATTATCTTGTTATTTATTTTTTTGCATTTGCTAATTTATGTCTTTGTTTTTTTTCTTTTGGGTGTTATTAGTGAAGATTCGGGTATTTTATCTTTCCTTTTCTATATCCCTTGTATTATTTATTTATACACCTTTGTTGCTCAATAATATTATCTCATATTTTTGCCATATTCTACATGGTATTAGAGCTACAAATCAAATACCAGTCGCCAGAACTTTCTGCCGGCCAGCTTTTAACCTTCCCTGCTGACTAGATTTCTTGCAGCTTCTTTCACCCGCAAGCCGTAACCTTCTTTGCCATCTTGATATCCTTCTAGGTGACTGAATCAGATCTCTTGCAGGCTGAGATCCCTTGTACGGATCAAATCGTCACTTTTTGGCCCCATTTTTTGTTATCTGTTGCATAAGTGACTATCTATGTCTATGTCCCAGAGTCATGGTGGAGTACTTCACTGTTGAGCCCTCTTCTGACGGTGTACTAGTCACGTCAGCCTCAATCTCTTCGCAAATCGGAGGCCCGGAAAATCTTATGAAATTTTTTATCACCACTCATAAACATAACAATTCTAATTTTCTTCAATAGTCTCAAGCCGTGTCGTTGTTTGTTAGATGACGCAGAAAGTTAGTCAATTTCACAAGGATGATTTGTGAACCTCTGAAAACTAGCCAAATTTATGCAGCGTGGGAAGTGGAGAATTCTATGTTCATATCTTGGCTGATCAATTCCACAGAGATTATGATTGATAGTTCGTATCTGTTCCTTCCTTTTGCATGCGCACTATGGCTGACAGTTCAAGATTCCTACTTGGATGTAGGAAATTTAGGCCAACTTATGAGGTTCCCAAGGTGTTGCACGAGACAAAACAGGGATTATAGGCCATGACCCAATACTAAAATGATTTCATGACCTTATGAATGGAATACGATCTCTACTACGAGTACACAAAGGACTCTTCGGTTGATCCTAAGAAGTTTCGCGAGGCAAAACAGGCAAAACAGGGATTTTTCGGTTGATCCTTATGAATGGACTTATGAATGGAATACCTTATGAATGGACTTTTCGGTTGATCCTAAGAAGTTTCGCGAGGCAAAACAGGGATTAAAGGCCATGACCCAGTACTAAAATGACTTCGTGGTCTTATGAATGGAATGCGATCTCTTCTACGACTACACATGGGACTCTTCGGTTGATCCTTTCTTTTTCGAGAAAATTATGGAAATAGATCGTGTGTTCCAGTTCCTGGCGCGGCCAAACGAGGATTTCAATGAAATTCAGGGTCGTATTCTTGGTTAAGTTCCTCTTCAACTAGTGCTGCATTCACCGAGGTACATCGCGAAGAAAACTTGAGACTTATCATGCTCGATCATTCTACTGCTTTAGCCGAACCATGCGCTTTAATTTCTAATAGTGCTCAACCCTTCACGTCATCATGGGGCCAATCACTCTATTTGTAATTACTGTCACAAACCCGATCATACCCGTGACGAGGGCTGTCAAAAAAGCTCATTCGCGAATAGTTCGTGTTCGATACGTTTGATAAACAAATGAGATGAACACGAAGAATTTTTGTTTTTCGCTCGATTTATAAACGAGCTAAACACGAACAATCATTTGTTCGATCGCGTTCGAATCATTATTGTTCGAAAGATAAAATAATTTTAGTTCGTGTTCGATACGTTTGATAAACAAATGAGATGAACACGAAGAATTTAGAAAATAATTATATACTCTAAAAACTTATTATTTTTTTAAAAAATTAAATCATATAAATTATAATATGATCTTCAGGTTCACAACTTAGCTTATATTAAATTCTGTAATTTCCTATTTACTTTCAGGTTTAGTCTGTTAGCTTAAATTTTCTTATAATTATTTTAGATTTGTTTTGTTTCTTTGAGAGAAACCTAATTTTTGGTAGTGAAATCTTGCATATGGTCTCTGGATCTTAATTTTTTATGGATGAGATATGATATTATGGTTTTATTGTGAGTTGTGCTTCAGTTATTTTGCATTTGTGATTGATTCATACAAGTTTAAACATTAATTTCTTGTAGGTTTAAACTTTTAAAAGTTTTAAAATAATTCGAACAGTACAAACAAATCTGTAAAATTTCGAACAATTCAAGCAATTTGAATAATTTGAACAATTTGAATAATTCAAATATTTCAAATATATTTCAAACAAATCAAACCAAAGATGAATAATAACTGCACGAACAGTTTCAAACACGAGCCTACAATTTCAAACGAACCGAAAGAACATGAGCTTTGTTCGTTTACACCCCTACTCGTGACAAGTGTTGGAAACTCCAACCGAAATAGACGAGTAAACGTTCAACCATGTCTTTTGCTGCAAGGGGTTTTGCTATGACCTCAGAAGGCACAACAATATAGTCGACTCACTTTTGGAACAACTTGGAATATTTACTCCATTAAGAGTCAAATGGAGCACTTGAGCAAACTACTTGAATTTACCTAATTCTCTTCTGACCCGCTGACCTTCCATATTCGTCAAGGCAACATTCCGGTGACACTCGATGTTTTTGCTTTTTCTAGTCAATGGATTCTTGCTTTGGTTCCACAAGCTATGTGAATAGATGTTTTCAAGCCTTCTTTACATTTCTCCGTTGGCTGGGAGAGATACCATTAAAAATGTCGATGGATCTCATTGTTCCATTATGGGTAAAGTGTTTGTTGTTCTAACAACATATCTGATTCTAGAATTGTGTTACATGTACCTTCGTTAAATTGCAACCTCTTGTCTATTAGTAAGCTGATATATGACCTTGATTTTGTTGCTGTTATTTTTTTCTGAATGTTTTGATCGATTTGATCGCTAAGCAGGTAGTCGTGCTCTACTTTTTTCAAGGGTAAAGTAGTGTTGACGAGTCACTTTGTCTAGTAGTTGTATTCTTTCCCAGTCCAAAGAATGTCCTATTATGCCTTTACACTGTCGTTTGGGTCATCTCTTCTTTTAATATTTAAAAAAGTTGTATCGTTTGATGTTTACTGATAAAAATATATCTAGTTTCAAATGTGAAGTTTGTCTCTATACGTCTTTGAGTCCATAACCAACATACTCTTACACTCCTTCCTTTCCTTTTTCACTACATCATAATGATTTGTGGGGATTCATTCAAACAAAGTTACACCAATAAAAATTGGTTCATTGTTTTGATTGATGATCACTATCGAATGACATGAGTCTATTTCTTAAAAGGCAAATCTGAAGCTGCTATCACCTTAAAAAATTTTCATTCCTTTATTTTAACCTAATTGAAAATATCAATTCAAGTCAGTTGGACTAATAACGGCTGTGAATTTTTTAACTATGTCATGAGATTTTTTGGTAAGGGCATCCTTCATCACAGCTCCTATACAGATACTCCTGAACAATATAGAGTAGCCGAGCGAAAAAAAATTGACACGTTATCGAAGAGTTCACTATGTACCGAAACAATTTTGGAATGTTGTCGTACTTTCCGTCGCATATCTCATCAATAAAGTCCCCAGAAAGAGTTCAGAATTTTCGAACCTCGATAGCAGTTATGAGCAAGGCTGTCAAAAATGCTCGCTGTTCGCGAATAGTTCGTATTTGTCTAGCTAATGAATTTGTGTTCAATTCGTTCGATAAGTAAACGAGATGAGTTTGACTCGCTAATGAATTTGTGTTCGATTCATTCGATAAGTAAACGAGATGATCACAATAATTATTTTTTAGTTTTATTTTTAAATGAACCAAACACGAATAATCAAGTGTTCGATCGTGTTGGAATTTTTATTGTTTGAAATATAAACTATTTTAAAGTAAATTTTTTTAAATAAAGGGATGTTTTTTTTTGGGTAAATTGAGAATTAATAATTAAATTTATTATCATTTTAGCAATTCAAGAAATTCGATCAATACAAACAAATTTGAAAATAATTTGAACAATTCGAATAATTCGAGTAATTTGAGCAATTCAATCATTTCAAACATTTCAAGCGTTTCAAATGAATTTCAGAGAAATCGAGTCGAGCACGAACAATTTCAAGCAACTGTATCTTCTTTGCTTAAAGACTATATCGTCGTAAACTTGATTCCTGCTCAATCAACTGTATCTTCTTTGCATATTCTGCCACTCAAAAGGGCTATCAATGCTTCGATCCTATCACAAATAAATTTTTTTGTGAGCTATGATGTCTCATTCTTTTAAAGTTTTCCCATCTTCCTCAACACTGCCTCAAGTTAGAATTTTTGGACACTACTCCACGCATTGGATCCATCATCTACGAGTCCAACATCTCTTCCACCCTTTCGCTATGTTTATATTCGACGCATAAAACCCTTAGTTTTGGTCTGTCCCAATACTCATAATTTTGGGCCCACTTCCTTTTTGCAATACTTGGAATCCTTCAAATCGAAATCCATTCTAATGTGGAGAATGTTTATTTCGAGTTGAACTAGATGTACAAAGAAAGTCTATCACTGCTTTAGCTTATAAATGCTGTGTTTAACTATGCTGGAACTAATTTAAGTTGGCTCAATAAACTCCATCTCCACCACCCTCGCTACCATTTTTTCTGGCGGAATTTAATCCAAAATGCTATCCCCACGAGAATGTGGCTTGCCTGGAGAGGCCTTGTGGAGGTCAAGGATTGTCCTTGGGGCTGTAACCAAGTGGAGGACAAAAGCCATATTACTTCTAATTGTTTGCTTCTATGCAGGGTGAAAGCTATATTGGAATCATGGGGTGTCATCATACCCATGATTAACTCATTCAACGAGGCGATCCATAAAATTAAGAAGACCAAGGAGAATAGCGTTGCATCACTCTGGTGCTTTTGCTACATAGTTCATTCCTATTGGCGTGCCCGTAACGCCAAAACACATGAAATTGCTCACGGTACTCCGACTGTCATCGCCTCCACCATTCTTGAAGCTTTCATAAAGACCTATCTTTATCCATTTCGAGAGCAATGCAATACCGGCCGACTCCATGGGTCGGTTCCCACTATTTTTTGGTATCCTCTCCGTTCTCGTTGGCTTAAAGTTAACGCTGATGATGTGCTTCTCCCTTGTGTTATGGCCCTTAGTGGATGTATTATTCGGGACGATCACCGCAATGACATAATTGTTGCAGTTCATTAATTTCAACATTGGGATAGTGCCCAAGTTGAGCTTCAACCTAACAAGTTATTTCTAGGCATTTACCAACCATGGATGCTAGAATATAAAGGGCTTGTTTTTGCAGGGGACAACACCAACATTATGAACACTTTGAGTACCACTATGAAGAGAGACTTTTGGAGCCACCAACCCCTGGAGGCGCCAAATCATGCCTTTCTTTTGTCAATAAGGCAGATTCCCTTTGTCCATATCCTATGAAGTTGCAATTGGGCTGCTCATTTTTATGCTAAGCGTGCTGTTGTCGATTCTTTTGTTTTGATGCATATAGATGATGATAGGGAACTCTCTGCTATACTTGTAGATGATAGATCTTTATTTGTACATCATAGATGGATTCTTGCATGGTTTTTGTACCTTTTTGATATTTTAATGCAAATGCATATTTCAATGAATTCTCCCCGTCCAACATCTCTGACACTATACTTACACAGATTACTCCCGCTCCTAATGAGGATGTGAGTTTTACTATTGAGGTACGCAATGAGGCTTGCTCTTTTTATTCTATGACAAAATGTCTCTTTCCATAGCTTCTCGTTGAACTGCAAATCATTTGCCACTTCCTTGATGGATTATCGTCGTCCATCCACTATTGAGGTAGCATCGACGGACGCTTCTTGGAAGGTTGCAATAATGGATGAGATGAATGCCAACCTTCTACTTTGGGAAGCATTTGTTGTTCCAATGGACCCTGATAAAAAATTGACTAAAGTTCCTTATGATTTGCCACACGGTATGTACTGTAAGTTAGTTCATGCACGACCCATACGAGCACCATCTCACGACTCACTGGATCCTAAACTACTTAAAATACACTATGAGCTTAGGTTTACCACTCTCACGCCACACTTTTCGTTATATTTCAGTTTATACTGATGCTGATTATGCCGGGTCTGTCAATGATCAACAATCTACTTAGGGGTATTTCTCATTTGTGTGGGGAAATTTTCTCACTCAAAAATAGTAAATAATTGGTTGTCGCCCAAAGTAGTGCATCAGTCGAGCTTCATTCCGTGTCCTTGGGAAACTATGAAACGCTCTGGTTGCGCATTATGCTCCGCGAAGTATGCGTGCCGGTCTCTGCTTCTCTACAACTTTTCAGTGATAATAAAGTTGCAATTAACGTTGTTCATTTAGTGCATCAGTCGATCTTCATTCCATGTCCTTGGGAAACTATGAAACGCTCTGGTTGCGTATTATGCTCCGCGAATTATGCGTGCCGATCTCTGCTTCTCTACAACTGTTCAGTGATAATAAAGTTGCAATTAACGTTGTTCATAATCCGGTCCATCATGATCGCACCAAATATGTAGAGATTGACCGTTACTTCATCGTGGAGAAGCTCGATTTCGGGCAGATTTGTGTTTCATTTGTCACATCCAGTGGTCAACTCGCATAGTTCCTCAGGAGGAACCTTCCTCGGCTGTTGTTTGACGACTTTAAATCCAATTTGAACATGATTTTTATGTATTCTTCAAATTGTAGGGGAATATTAGAAGTTATTTCTATGTTATTTTTATGTATTCTTCAACTTGTAGGGGAATATTAGAAGTTATTTCTATGTTATTTCTTTAGTTTATGTCTTTCCTTTTTATCTTTTGGGTGTTACTAGGAAAGATTTTAGTATTATATCATATATTTATTCCCCTTTGCTGCTCAATAATATTATTCTTCTCTATTCCCAATTACTACACTGAACAATTAATGAATAATCATTAATTTCATATCAATTAAAATTGCGCATCACGTGTTAGCCTTTTTTTTTCCAATTCTAAGCATTTTCTTAAATTATATTTCATTTTTATAACCTATCTTATTATTATTATTATTTTTGCCAACCTATTGATGTTCTTTGTAAGTGCAGCCCTTGGCTTGTGTTTTCACTTTAATAGGTGATAGTTCAATGTCTAGGAATAGAAGCTGTTTATTGTTCGGTGTTAGAAGTTCGTACCAATAGATTTGAGATCAAATATTATTTTTATGCTTGAGACTTATTAGGCATTTCTCTACGGCTTGGAGCATCCGTTCTCATGAATGTGTAGCCGAGGCTGTGAATATTAAATTTACATCCCGCTTGCTCAGCATTAATCATAGTGGTTCCCTTATCCATTCAGGTTTTCTGCAAAACTGGGTTGCTTTTATTTCCATAATTTGCTTGTTCGCCATTTTCAGTTGTTACTTTCCAAAATGCTGGTTTCTGAAAACCCTTACGCCGTTTAATAGTATTTTCTTGGGGCGGTCTCGGCTGACAGAATCCCACATGAAAGCTTTGATCTGGTTTAAACCGTCTTCCTTTACTGTCTTTGAATTGAACTCTATTTGTCTTAACTCAGATAGGCTAATGCCTTACTATTTATGCTTTTTTCATATTAATTTCTGTTTTTCTTCATTATTGGAATTATATTTCATTGTTTTACTTCTGTTTTTGTCAGGGTTTTGAGCATGTATGATCTCCGCGATGAAGATATAAATAATGCTGCAGACATGTCTCTACAATTGAGTTGCCTTCTTAACTCCACACATGAAGTCCAACTTCCTGTATTAGAGTTGTTGAAAGTATGCCGACTTTTCATGATATATATGACATCCTCAAAGTTTTTTGATGAAAGAGAATGTACCCCCTCTATAGTTCTACATTTCTCTTGAGATTTGTTAGCTGCATTAATTTTCCTTTTAATAATTTCTGTTATGCATAATTTTTTTTCCTCAATTGCAGTGAGTTTAAGAAATGCCCAGTGCTCTTAATCATTCAACATGATTAAATAGTTATTTGGGCTGTGTTTGGGGATTGCTTTTCTTTGCTCAACATCCCCCATTAAGATGATTCCAGTTATACGCTTGAACAGCAAATGCACCTCTCTATTATTGAAATGGAAACCGATTTGATGTTTTTAGTGAAGTGTTCTACTTGGCTATCTTCTAGTAATTTCTTTGCAAGGCAGAACATATCAGCATTGATGAGATTTATAGCCATTATAGTTGCATGTTATCAAGGGCTAATCTTTTCTTTTGGAAAACTTTGTAGGCTTCTTTAAAGCTCTGTAGAAACTTAAAATTTAAGCAATGAACTTTTGTGTTGGATTTTTTTACTCTTTCAAGCTTAAAAACGCATCTATGCTTACATAGATGTCAGTAAACAATCATTTAGGATAGTCATGGTTAACTTCTTACGGAATAGTTGCAATACAGTGTTGTAGTTCCAATGCGTCTATGGCATGGGAGTCAAGATAGTATATTTTTTTTGGATATATTGGTTGGCTGGAGCTTTCATTTGACCAGTTGTTCTTTTTTTTCTCCGATGTGTGCTCATTAAAAATGATTCTATCATTCCTATAGTTGATAGTATTTTTTAGTCTTTCTTGCCATGCTAGAATCAAATTAGCTTACTTTGAAACTTTGAGTTTCCTATTTTATATTTATTCTTGTTTATTCCTTTCTTATTATGTTGTATTTTTTTTCTTTTGTTGGTTGCTGTGTCTTAGATAAGTTGTAACGGTAGGAATTAAGTTTGCCTTTGCTTGTACTTGTTATATAATTAGGAGACTTGTAATTTGATAAATGAGAAAGAAGATATTATAGTGTCTTCATCTTTCTTCATGGTACCAAAGCTTCGTTAGATCGTTTTCGTCGGCGTCGTTTGTCTTTGGTGTTAGCCTCGCTCGTGTTTTGATCGCAGACTTGTGGTTGTTCGTCTCCTTCCAGTATGTGCGCTTTTGTATTGATTGCAGACTTGTGGTTGTTCTTGAGGTATGTAGCTCTATAATGCTTTCTCAAAATGTCTCAAAAGTTTTCTTGGGAGATGATGTGCTGACAACCATCTGCCTCATTAATAATGTGTCAAGCACGATCTTTGGTTTCAAAGTCCCTCTCGAAATTGTGATGGAGAAACTCGCTCATATCAGAGCCTTCTCGTTCAATCTTCCTCTAAAATTATTCAACTTCCTTGTTTTGTTCATATTTACCGACCAAACTGTACAAAGCTTGACCCAAAATCCATCAAAGTTATCTTCCTTCGGTGTGCTTAAAAAAAAATGTGGCACAAGTGCTATTCTTCTATTACAAAAGAAATATAGTAAATTCATGGATATTATCTTCTTTAAAATCCATCACTACTGCCTTAAATCTGATATTAAGGTGGAGAAGTCCCACTGAATAAACTTGGGACATTACTTTGAATACTTAAACTAACCTAGAGTCATCACAACGTATTCCAGTTCCCTACATTTCTTTAGATTCTCACATTGATTTAGAGTCATCACAACTCGCTCCCCTTCGCTCTAACCATCCGGTCTCTGAAGTTCCATCAACTGAGAAAATAAAACTTCGTGTGTATACTAGGAAAAAGAAATCTATTGAGCAGGATAGATACAATATACAACTACATGATTGTTCACAGGAAAGCCTAAATTCACACATCTATGAGGTTTCAATGGAGGTAAAATCTACTGGAGAGGAAAGGAAAAGTTGCAGGAATTATCTTATTTAGACTTAGGTTACCTATGAGAAGTTATCAAGATAAAATATTTGTATCTATAGTTGGTAGTGTGCAACCATCCAATTCTATTCACAAAGCACTTTAATGTCCATAGTGGAAAAGGTAGTTGAAGAAGAGATCTATTGACAATATCAATCTTACAAAACTTCCTCTATATAAAAAAGCAGTTGGATGCAACTGGATGTTCATTTTTAAGTTTATATCATATGATTGTGTTGAAATTCAGAATAATGTAGAATTCAGTTATTGTTTTGAAAAATGTGTATAAATAACTCTTAGTGGATCCTAGAATATAAAAGTCAATGAAAAGTAAACACCATGAAAGAAAAGATATAACTCCTAATGTCTCCAATGAATCAAGTAATATTAATTATTTTAGAGATAAAGGAAACACCATAAAATAGGAAAACCTAAAATAGGAAAAAAAATAAATCCAATTAAAGGAAACAAGTTTAAAGTAGGAAAGGAAATAAAATTGAATTATTAATTAAATCTAATTCTCATAACTTCTGATACGAATAAAATATTTCTTAATGTAACTTCTAACAGATAGGTTTAAGAGGTTAATTACTAGGTTGTTTTTCACGACCCTGCTTGGGGCTTGAAATTAACTGAGACAGGAATAGACGGTCGGATGGTGAAAGTCAATTCTCAACTATTTTGTTTCTATTACTATTTTGTATTAAAATAATTCACGAGTAATTACACATGCAAAATGGAGGTTAATTACTAGGTTGTTTTTCACGACCTTGCTTGGGGCTTGAAATTAACTGAGACAGGAATGGACGTTCGGATGGTGAAAGTCAATTCTCAACTATTTTTTTTCTATTACTATTTTGTGTTAAAATAATTCACGAGTAATTACACATGCAAAATGTAGGAACTCATGGAAAAGACTTCAAAATGCATGTTTATTTATATCTCTATAAACAATCTTATAATGTGCTAGGCTTTTATCTTTGTATAAAAAATCTTTTATATGCTAATGCATATATTAATAACATTTTCTAAATGAAAATATTCAAGTCTTTTATATGCATTTACTTTATTAATACCTTATTTTATAGTCTTTATGTACACATCTATCTCTGTGAGGATCACCGTTAACAAAATTAACACGCTTGGCCGATATTGCCCCGTCCGCACAACGATTAGTGATGTAAGCATTACAATTGTCTAAGACGGAAATACACTTACCTGCCTTTTGATCGATATTATCCTGTTGGCACAGCGATTGACAATGTAAAAATCACAATTGTTTGGGGTGGTTAGCTCTGTTCTACTTGCCCCTGACCGTTATTATCTCACCGGTACAATGATTTGTGATCTAACCACCATAATTATCTGGGATGATAAAAAAACTTTACGGGCGCGGGTATACTGACATCACCTTCTTACACCATTAGGGGTGAACTTCTTTGAACATGCACTAACAAACATTTATATAAAAAAAGTTTTCATTTTTCATAGCATATATTATTCCGAGAGATTTTTTTGCATCTATTAACATGCATACTCTGTTGCATAATTAATCATCATGCATATCTTTTACTTGAACCTATCATATATATATATATTTTTATCATATTTATCATGTACATCTGTTTTTTGTCATGTCTATCTTTCATATCATGGGTATTATACATATCATGCTTGTCGCCTCTCATGCATATCTTTTACTTCATACATAAGTTGTATATCTTTTCGGTCATGTATATATTTTTTTTATTTAAAATTATGTGAAATATATCTAAACTAGTGCATGCATAGAGTTAAACATATATTCAGAGTTAAAGAAGAGTACTTGAAATTTAAAGTATAATTACTCACATCGGTTGCCACATTGAATGTTACGATAAACTTTATGTTGATATTAAAAACATAATATTAAACTTTAAAATTTAAGGAATTCCTGTTGAACAGATTCTTATTCTTCATGTAAGATTAATTTACTTGAATTTTGCTGATGTGCCATACGAATTGTTTTCACATGCTTGCCTCGAATTCTCCTTCTCTGGTAAACAATATGAAATCTTGAGCGATTTAAGAGTCAATAGAGGTGTTATTCACTTAATTTACATTCCTACTCATCTTCAAATTACTGATGTCTTTACTAAGGGTCTGTTTGGCACAGCTGTTGATTATTAATAATCTGCTGATAAGCAGAGAAATCTCTACCCCTAGGCAACTTCACTGATTTGAGTATTAAGGTTGGTCTTTGCAACATATGTGAACCAACTTGAGGGGGAGTATGGAATTCTAAGTTTCCTATGTTGGATTTATTCTCTTTTATTCCTTTTTATGTTGTATGTATTTCTTTTGTTGATTGTTGTGTTCCTCTTTTGGATTTATTCTCTTTTATTCCTTATTATGTTGTATGTATTTCTTTTGTTGATTGTTGTGTCTTTGGTAAGTTGTAATGGTAGGAATTAAGTTTGCCCTATTATTTACTTCCTTGCCTTTACTTATTATATAAGTAGGAGAGTTGTAATTTGATAATTGAGAAATAAGAGAATATAGTTTTCCATCCTTCTTCACTTTCTATGCTGTCAAGAGAAATTTATTACACGAGCTACATTGAAAGTCTGCTTCAGTAATGAGTTACCTTCATTGGGAACCCAAACAGCGCTTTGTCCTGGCAGTTCCCTTGTTGGTTTTTTGTTTGGTTCTCATTATTAATTTGGATTTGTTTTATAAAATATTTCTTGAATTCTATTAGAGAGTTCATATGTTTGATATAAGCGACACACTTGCTTTTTTTGCAGGCCATCCCATATTGATGGAAAGCTTTTATCTAATGGGTTCCTTCTATTTTATAAATTTTTTTATTTTTCTTAACGATTGTAGAAAATTGGCTTGAAAAATACTAGTCTTACCAGAAAATAAGTGTCTGTAAAGCTGAATACTATATTTGATGTTTGAAATGAATTGCTTGAGGTTCCTTTTTTGGGTATTATTTCACACAGGGACATCATAGCCGTTGTTTCTTCTTCATGCAGATTGTCATGATTTGTTCATACTTTCTGAATGCATTTTAGATATTTCAAGTATTAAATATTTAATAATGATACGTTAAATCCTTTGTCTTGTTGATGTCTGCTTTGCTTTTCTTCTTTCAAATATTTTTTTTTGCTGACTTTGTTTTTTCTGTTACAAGAAGAATTCCTTGCTAAGCTCATTTTTAATATTTTGCTAGGACTTCTTGGGTGGCAAAGTAGTTTTTCGCAATGTCATGGGTATCATCTTAATTGGTGTAAACAGTCTTATCAATGCTCGGATTAGTCAAGCATATGGTAATCTGCTAGAGAAAGCTATTCAACTTTCATTGGAAATTATAGTTCTTGTTTTTGAAAGAGACCTATTCCTTGTCGAGTGTTGGCGCCCATTATATCAGGTATTTGTATGAACTATAAGAGTGTTGCTTTATTGAAAGGCTTATTGCGAGAATTTCTTATTTTATTATTGCAGCCTTTGGATATTGTACTTTCTCAAGATCATAATTACATTGTCTCTTTGCTGGAATTTGTACGATATGATTTTCTACCTGAAATTCAGCTTCTGTCCATAAAAATTGCGAGCATCCTAAGGTATGCTTCTTCCAATGTTTCTTTTTTTTATTTTTTTTAGATTTTCCGTGTTCTATCATTCTTAGTTATGTTTTTTTGTTTTTTGGGTATTTGTTCGATGATTTTATCTGTGCTAGTTAACCTGTACGCGCATCATTGCATGTAATTTAGTTTTTATTTATTTTTAAATTAAATGTGTTATTTGTGATGGACTAAGTTGAATTTTTAGGATCTTAAAACTTTCCTTCAGTATTTAAGTCTATTTTGGTATGAAAATGATATTATTCCTTTCATATATGTGCATTTTTTTAGCTGTCCCACATTGTCTTCCATTCTACTGCAATATCATCATATGAATAAACTTCATTGATAATTTTTAAATTATAAGTACTTGAATTGTCACGACCTGTCCTGGGGATTGGAATTAGCCACTGTGGGTAGAGACGATCAGATGGTTTAAAAGTTTATATATTAATTACTTTGTTAATGGTTGTTCGCGTCTCATATAAACTTTTCTCGTCTATTGTTATTCTTTTAATAATTTAATTAAATCTGAAAAGTCAGTTAAAATATTTGTGAGCTAAAGAGCTGGTGAATATTTATATTTCTAAACTATAATAATACAATGAAAAGAAAGAATAATACACATGTAAGTTAAGCTTCTTTATAAATCATTATAAACATTTGACATGCTATTAAAATGGGTCTATATCATTCTCATTTCAATTCATTTTTTATCTATATAACCGTAAAATGAGGCTCCGTCTAAAAGTTGTAAATTAAAACACATCAATATGAATAATTTTTTTTCATTTACGTGCGCGGGTGCATTAGTGTTGCCTTGCTAGTACCATCAATTGGTGCTGCATCATAGTCAGTCATGCACATACAATCAGTTAACATAAACATATGAGTTCATCACATTCAATCATTCTATATAAAACATGCACTAAAATTTATGAATAGATTGCTACAACATTCGCAACGACATGACCAATAAAGAAAATGATAACTTAATGCGACTAAAGCATCCACAAATATTATGAACTAAAAACATGTATGAGAAGCAAAAAAAATATTACTGTAATTTAAAAGAAGTATTCATCTCGAAGATGATTAACTCGATAAGATTTTTCTCTGACGTCGAGTCTTCTAAGTAGAAACCTGACATGCGTATTCATATTGCAAAATTTTAATTAGTTATACTTAGCTATTAAATTTACATCATTTAAGTATTAAGTTTCCATTATTTTACCTCATAAAGAGGTCCTAATTAAATTCATTTCTTAAACTTTTCCTAACGAAGTTTGCTCAAGCGAATGTTCCTCTTCTGTAGGTCGCACCCTTCACCTCCTATCTCGCTTCAAATCTGAATATTTAACAAAAGAAATTTAAGAATTTTTTAAATTTACTATTGCAATGTGTGTGTGTGTGTGTGTGTGTGTGTCTATAT